GTAGAGCCGGTTCTCCTCCACATCGAGAGGAGTCAGTTGAGGTGGCTCGGACATCTTCTTGGAATCATTAGAAAATAATAAAAACAATATTAAAGGTATGTAGAACATTTTAAATAATATTATTAAAAATAATAATAGACAGGCTACTTATACTTATCCCCATTACTTCATTGAGAATGATAAAAATATTAATAACATGGAGGATGTGGTTCATAATTTCAATACATTTTTTGCAAACGTGGGACCAAACTTAGCTGAACAAATCCCGGTTAGACAATCATTAGAAATTGCATATGAGGAGCTAATAGAAACAAATCCCAGTTCAATATTTCTGACAGCAGTAGATGAAAAAGAAATAATTGATATTGTTAAAAAATGCAAAAACAAACCATCCACTGATCACGATGGAATAGATATAAAAATTATTTGAAAAAGTAATAGAGGAGATCGCCAAACCACTAACGGATATCTGCAATTAATCATTTTCAACAGGTAAATTTCCAACAAAAATGAAAACAGCAAAAGTCATTCAGCTATATAAAACTGGAAATAAACATCACTTCACAAATTAAAAACTGGAAATAAACATAATTTCAGAATTCAAGAAAATAAAACAATGGTTTGACATAAACAGGTTATCAATAAATTTGAGTAAAACTACATTCATGGTATTCAGAAACTGTAAATCAAAGCATCGAGCACAGATACAGATACAAGGGGTTAACATAGAAAGAGTATATGGAAATAAATTCCTTGGAGTGATCATAGATGACAAGATTTGCTGGAAGCCTCATATAAAACACATCAAAACCAAACTGTCCAGAAGTATTTCAGTCCTAGCAAGAGCTAAGTAGCTTCTGGATTCCAAAGCACTTCACATCTTATACTGCTCACTACTGTTACCTTATTTGAATTACTGTGTAGAGGTTTGGGGGAACACTTATCAACACTCACTACAGCCACTAGTCAGAATGCAAAAAAGAGCAATAAGAATCATTTACAACGCCGGACTTCGGGATCATACAAACTCATTATTTCTAAAATAATGAGTTTGCTAAAATAAAATGATTTAACTGAAAACTAAATTTCAGTATTCATGTTCAAGGTAAGACATAACCTATTCCCTGGGAATATACAAAAGATTTTCTCTGAAAGGGAGGGAGGGTTTGATTTAAAGGATTGACTTCATGTGACTAAACTTCCGATGTGACCCTCTGCTGAAATGTCTGTCTTGTGTTTGCATGTGCTTTTCTTGTGCAGAGGGTTTTTTGATATCTTAAACTGTATCCTGTCAAAGAGAGGGACGTCTGGGCCTCCCTACTGAAGCTGCTACCCCTGCCACCCGACCCCGGATAAGTGCAAGAAGATGGATGGATGGATGGATAAAGAGCAGTTCAATCAGTGGCTGTATAAGTTCTATTGTCTTTAGGAAAGCAAACCTCAGCAGTGTTACAAACTTTAGCTTAAAATAGAAACGGTTGGAAGATGAAGAGGTGAGGAAGACTTGTTTCCTGTTTCTCTACGAGCCGATGAAGCAACTCTACAGAGGAGTATAGACCTTACCTGTCAGATCAACCTCATACTCCCAGACAGCCAGGCTCCCTTCATCGTTGATGGTTATGGCCACCTCCTCTGTGTTGATTGGAAGACGGATCTCAAACATTGGGTGGTACTGATCTCCAAAGTTCAAGTTGAACTCTGCTTTCTGAAAACAAAGAGCATTTGATGTGAATACGTCTGGAAATTTTTCTAAAAGTGAATGCATTCCTTAAGAGCAGGTTTTCTACACAGAACCTGTAGCTTTGGAAAGGAAATCTTTATCTCTAATAATACTGAAGGATAAGCCAAAACAATAATGATTTTATCCTAAAATCCTTAATTTTTATTCAAACTTCTATAGTTTTAGTTTTTCTAAAAAGTATCCTTGAAAGAAAACATTAAAGAGATCAGGTCCTATTTTATGACTTTTTTAATTTATGAGGCGGCTAACAAGACAGAGCCTGCAGCCTATGGCATAAATATGGGTAAGCAAGGACAGCAGCTGGTTACGAGCCCACAACCACTTAGGGGCCCCATAACTGACACCTGGTGGGTCCCCTACGCTATTGTAGACTAGGACACCTCTTTGCAGATGTATTGTTGCGAAAAAATCCTCTTAAGCCCTCCTGATACTGAAGTGGCTGACCGCACAGGACCGTATTTATACCCCAACACATGGCAGATTTCAACATGATGGTGAGCCATTCAAACACAACACCAATAACAAAGCAGACAGTGGAACTATTAATTACTATGTTAATAACTGTATATAGTTCATTAGGAGGTTGGTGAAAAATACACTCATATTATAAGTTTCAAACTGCAATAAAGATCTTCAAAGAACGATGTATTTGATTATTTCATTTTTTACACTACGACTTGGATTATGGGTAATCCAGAGTGTAGATTAAAACTATAACCGTTATTTACAATGTGTTAGCGACAATGGATACCAAAATTAGGTACTTAAGCAGATTCCAGAAAAGAAAAAGGAAAGAACAGCTGCTGGAAGAATGGAAAAAAAAAACTTCCCAAAATAAACACATTCTTTCAAAGAACCGAAAAGGCAGAGGTGGACATTGCTGCTGCTACAGTGAGTAAAGATTCTGACCAGGAGATGAATGTAGAGAGTGTGGGTGAGGACTGTGAAGCTGAAGGTAGCCCCATGGCTTGTTGTGCTAACATGTGGTGGTGCGATGTCACCAATGCTGCCATTCAAGGTGCACAGTCACTATTTTTCTGTATGTGATGTGTGATTATATACTACAGACAACAGCATAATTGTATCTTCTTGGTTTATTATTGGTATTATTTATTTATGGAACCGTCATCGTATCCTGAATCTTTATCACATGTTATACTTCATATGGGGCCCACCCAGGTAATGTTGCTTAGGGGCCTATTGTTGTGGTTTTACCCCTTTGCCTGTAGTTAATTCTGGTTGCAAACATTTTTTTTTGAAAAATGACTACAGGCATTTTATTCATTTTACAGGAATTCTACTTTGGCTAAAAAAGGAAAAAAAACTACGAGGATGCTTTCTTTAATCATAATCAAATGTTTTTTGGTCTTTTTTTCGGCAGGCATTTAGTGCGACTATGACCCTTCAGATCTTTACGTTTCAAAGACATATCTTTTTTTATTTTTATAATTACTCTTAGAACATGAATCAATCAATCAATTGTTCTAAAGCTTGTTAGCTTTGAAAGACCGAGATCTAGAGAGGCTTCTGTCAATGAGATAAAGGACTTTAATAAACACACCTTGGGTTGGATCTTGTAGTCCTGTGAAGCTCTCGGACAGACGAGGATATATTTCTGGTCTTTGATGAGTTTGCAGTAGGAAGTGCAGCGAACAAACCTACAGTCTCTCTGGTCTTTGTGAACCTGGAACGAAGGAGCTTTAAATTATCAAATGAAACATCTCAGAATTAAAACCTTTCAATTTTCTTCAGCTCCTAAATCTTGTTCACATTTGATATTGAGCAGCTGAGTGGTTTTTCCACAAAAGGGCCCCCCACTATGGGGCGCCGCTCGTAAAGTTAACTAGCCAAACATTAGGAGCAATTTTTATGAATCATTAGTGTTGTTTAAGAGAAAAATAAAGGGGTTATTTCCAAGTCATTTTTTCACTATTCTATTAATTCATTTATAAAAATCTTATTTGTTAAATAAATTTTGCCCCAAATTAAATATTTATTTAAAAAAAATCTTCATTTTTGCCCCAAACTAAATATTTGGTTTTTCAAATAAATATTTAACTCCAAAGAAAACTGCTTAAGAAACCGTCTCTTGACCCAGATGACTTGGTCAATTATATATATATATATATATATATTTTTTTTTTTTTTTTTAACAGTGTCCTGTCTGGCAAGGTGGCAATAAGAATAATTGTCTTGATGCCAAAAGGAGCCCAACAGATTTTACTTTCACAAGTGTAGC